CGGACGATGGTCATCTCAGGCATGCCACTCCTACATCCGAAATAATCTCCACAATCTGTGTCAGGCCCACACTCAGTTAAGCTCCTTTTCATTATAACTCTTTGGGGGTTGGACTAAGCTTGGGCAGAGCTACACCTGAGACGGAACCCCCATCCTGAATCTCTCACTGCCGGGCCTCTAGAGAACCTCCCAGACCAACCAGACATGCAACATTCCTCATCAACCTCATTATCCATCACAACATACACACATCAGACAAGATATACACACTCCCGAATTTGTATTAAATATTCAAACCTACATCGTTGTGGCGTGGTCATTGCTAGTGAAATGAAGTTAATGTATTAACTAAGGTTCAGAAGCAGGACCACGCCTCACCACACCTTCAATCACCTGACTAGCATGTTTTTACACAGCCACAGCCTCTGACCCACCCTCCCTCCCCTATCTCTTTAACATTAACGCTTCCACGACCTCTCTATCTCCGCCTCTCTCTGATCTCATTTAATTTAATTTCAGATTTAGTCTGTCTATGATTGTCCGTCTCGGGCCCTGAGCTCCTTCTTCTCTTGGATTCCTCTGGACTGTTACTGCAGACATGAACATCAGCCTCACTGACATTAATAACATAAAACTAAAGTTGACTACTATTAGGCCTACCGACTGTAATCACATTTAATTAATCTAACATTGTCCATAATTACTCATATCCTTACCCTGTAAACTGAATTCATTTTGTTTCACCATTACATGAGCTGTTGTTGTTGCTGTTGTTTCTGCTGTCCCCTGTCTCTCTCTCACCCTCATTCTCTACTCTCTCTCCCTCTCCCTCCCCCTCCCCCTCGTGTCTGCAGCAACGGTCCAGAGGAGTCTCAGAGATGGAGGAGCTCAGGGCCTAAGGTGGACAATCAAGGACGATGCAGCTGGGGTTAGGCAGTTCCGCAGCAGACCGTCTGCAGCATTAGTCCAGTGGAAGCTAAGAGACTCAGAGACACTCAGAGAGAGAAAAATCTTGTTAGTGACTTATATGGGACATAAAGATCTAAAGAAGAGATAGAGACAGACTCTAGCTCAGTGTGCCAGATAACCCCAGCAGTCTAAACCTATTGCAGCATAACTAAGAGCTGGTTCAAATCAGCCCCAACTATAAACTTTATCAAAGAGGAACGTTTTAAGTCTACTCTCGAAAGTTGAGAGGGTGTCTGCCCCCGGAACCTCGAGCAGTAAATGATTCCAGAGGAGAGGTGCCTGGTAGCTGAAGGCTCTTCCTCCAATACTACTTCTAGAGACATTTGGTACAACGAGCAGGCCTGCGAGCGTGAGCGTAACAGTCTAGACGGAAAGTAAGGTATTACAAGCTTGTAGAGATATGATAGAGCCTGGCCATTAAGCGCTTCATATAAGGAGGATTTTAAACTCAATTCTAGATTTAATAGGGAGCCAATGAAGAGAGGTTAAGACAAGAGAGATGTGCTCCCTTCTTCTGGTTCTAGTCAATATCCGAGCTGCTGCATTTTGGACCAGCTGAAGAGTCCTTAAAGACTTACTGGAGCAGCCTGATAAGAGAGAATTACAGTAATCCAGCCTAGAGGTAACAAAGGCATGGACTAGTTTTTCTGCATCACTCTGAGACAGGATGGGTCTAATTTTTGAGATATTGTACAGGTGGAAAAAAGCTATCCTAGAGATTTGTTGAATGTGGGAGCTAAAGGACAAATCCTGATCAAATAAAACTCCCAGATTTCACACAGTGGGGCTGGATGCCAGACTGATGCCATCTAGCGTAGCTATATTATTAGAAAATGCCTCTCTAAGGTGTTTAGGACCGAGGACAAGAACTTCAGTTTTGTCAGAGTTGAGCATCAGGAAGTTATTGGTCATCCAGGATTTTATATTTTTGAGACAAGCTTCTAATTTGGTAACCTGGTTTGTTTCTTCTGGCTTCATGGATAAGTATAACTGGATGTCAAATGCATAGCAGTTGAAATTAATCGAGTACTTCCTCATATTTTTACCCAGAGGAAGCATGTGCAAGGTAAAGAAGATCGGTCTAAGCACTGACCCTTGCGGGACTCCGTAGCAGACCTTGGTGTGCGCAGAGGATGCATTATTAACATGAACAAACTGGGATCGATCCGTTAGATAAGATTTAAACCAGGAAAGAGCGGATCCTGCTATGCTGATAGATTGTTCCAGTCTTTGAAGCAGGATACGGTGGTCAATCGTGTCAAACGCAGCACTAAGATCCAACAGGACAAGAACAGAGAGAAGACCACTGTCCGAAGCCATGAGTAGGTCATTTGTCACCTTCAGCAGAGCAGTCTCCGTGCTGTGATGGGTTCTAAATCCAGACTGGAAATCCTCCAATAAACCGTTGTTATGAAGAAAATCACAAAGTTAATTCGCAACAACTTTCTCCAGGACTTTAGAAATAAAAGGAAGGTTGGATATTGGTCTATAGTTAGCTAGGGTGCTTGGGTCAAGAGTAGGTTTTTTAAGGAGAGGCTTAATCAATGCAGTCTAAGACTGGGGAACATATCCTGTTAATAAAGACGTGTTGATCAAGTTAAGCAAGGACGTACTGATCAAAGGAAGAGATTCCTTCAGCAGTTTAGATGGAATTGGGTCCAAAAGACACTTAGATGGTTTTGCTGCCAGCACCACTGACTTTAACTCAGGAAGGTCAATAGGTGCAAAGTTACTAAGGTGCACCAGAGGCCTTAGGGGCTCCTCAACAATTTCAGGGTCATCTTAGAGAGCGACGCCTGACGAAGGCAAGAGGTTACTAATTTTACCTCTTATTTTTAAGATTTTTTCATTGAAGAAGCTCAAGAAGTCGTTGCTGCTGAGGGCTAATGGGATACATGGTTCAGCAGTGCTCTGACAGTCCATCAGCCTGGCTACAGTACTGAAGAGATATCTGGGGTTATTTTTATTTTCTTCAATAAGAGACGAGTAGTAAGTTGTCCGAGCACGTTGTAAGGCCTTCTTATATTTATCAAGACATTCCTGCCAGAGAAAACGAGCTTCCGGTGTTTTGGAAGAGCGCCAAATCCTTTCTCGTTTTCTTAATAACTGTTTCAGCTCACGGGTTTCAGCATTATACCACGGAGCCAGTCTCTCGTGTGTAAGAGTTTTCTGTCAAAGAGGAGCAACTGAGTCAAGAATTGATCGCAATGTGCATGAGGTATCATCAACGAACTGATCAAGTAGCAAAGGACTGATGTTCAAGTATGAGCTATCAGTGAAGTTCTTCTCAAGAGCAGACGGAATTGCCTCCTTGAACTTAGTCACAGCATTTTCAGACAACCTTCTAGTTAGCACGGTTTTGTTATGAGGAGAGTAGCCTGAAAGCACAAATTCAAAAGTTACTAGAAAGTGTTCCGATAAAAGAGGATTTAATGAGCTGACTGACAAGGCTTCAGCTTCAACCCCACCCAATTGAGTCTAGCAAGGACAAGAAAGAAATGCTTAGGCTATCATTTTCCACATCCACATGACAATAACTTTGTCTGCACAAAGGAGCAGATCAGATAGAAACTCTGAGAATTCTGACAAAAACTCAGAGTATGGGCTCGGAGGGCGATAAACTATAGCAAATGCCAGTGGTCTCATGGTCTTTGAGGCTGGATGCGGAAGACTGGGAACAAGACTTTCAAAAGAGTTATAATGCAGTTTTGGTCTTGGGTTAATTCCAAGACTGGAATTATAAATAGCTGCAACTCCACCACCTCGGCCAGAGTCCCGAGGAATGTGAAAGCTTAGGTGGCTAGGAGGAGTGGATTCATTCAAGCTGACATATTCATCCTGACGCAGCCAAGTTTCGGTTAGGGAAAGTAAATCAATGTGATGATCAGAGATTAGTTCATTTATTAACACAGATTTGGAACTTAGAGACCTTATGTTCAGTAGACCACATTTTATCTTACTACTGCGGTTCAGCTATGTTCAAAGTTTTAATTCTAGTAAGGTTTTTGTTATTTACTCCTTTGTTAATCGATTGGTTAGAATTAAAGAGCCGAGGATGAGGGACAGACACAGTCTCTATATCAAAGTGACAGTAGCTAGGAGGCTGCTCTAACAAAAGTGCAGAGGAACGTGTAGAATTGTGGCTATGCTCCCTGAACTCTATATCAAACTGATTGTCACTAGGAAGCTGCTCTGAAGGGAGTACAGAGGTGCATGTAGGACTGCGGCTCTGCTCCCTGATCTCTATATCAAACTGATTGCAGCTAGGAGGCTGCTCTGAAGGGAGTACAGAGGGGCATGTAAGACTGCGGCTCTGCTCCCTTGTCTCTGTATATAAGTGATAGTGGCTGGGAGGCTGCTCTAAAGAAGGCGCAGGGGCAGGGCCGGATTATGGGGGGTCTGGGCCCCGGGGCCAGGAGTTTGCCCAGTCTGGAGGACCTCTACAGCCAGCGCTGCCTCAGCAAAGCCCAGAGGATAATGGAGGACCCCACCCACCCTAACAAAGGACTATTCATTCCCCTGAGATCCAAAAGGGTAGACTCCATTAGACTGCTAAATAAATGTTGACAGTACTGACACCACTGCTGTGTAACTCAGCATGGGGTTCAGTGCCAGCTAACTACACTCCTCTTAATAATGCCATTTTCTGTGTTGAATGTGCTAGTTGTGGTGATAGTTTAGTGGTAGTGTAGTTTAGTTTCCTAAATGCTATCTAATTTTAGCCTCACATCTTCCTACTTTACATAATTAGATCTAGTTAGATAGCTGCACCTGAATGGACAGGATGTGCCAGCGCTGGAGAGCCGAGCCAAGGGTAACGGGGCTTTATATGACTTTCATAGTTACCCAGATGGTGTACAGATCACACAGGAATTAAATGGTACTGGATGAACGATCGGGCTAGGTGTAGGGTAATCTTACCTGAACCTAGTTGTATCCCATACTTGAATGCGTTTCCCTGTAGTAAAAGGTGGTATATAAGGATAACCCCTCTGCCTTTACTGCAAACATTGTTTTTCTAGTCTGACAAAATGTCAAAGAAATTTCAACTTGTGAATTTTGATGGTCAAGGACCATCAACTTCTAGAACAGCCAAGATTGACTGGAAGCTCTGTATGCTATGCCAAGAACATACGGCAGAGTCATTGAGATGTCCTTTGCAGAACACACGAGCAGACAAGGGGAGTGGATACACTTCACTTGCAGAGCATTTAATCCAGTTTAATGAAGTTGGCCAGCTCCCTTCAACTTTGGCAATTGAAAGACTCGATGAGGGTCATGGTATTGAAGCTGCCATGGTTGCAAACAAAGCTCAACACCATCATAAATGCAGGCTGATGTACAATGAGATCATGTTGAAAAGAGCAAAAAAGAGAGCATACAGCGAAAGTCCTGATCAACAGTCAGAATCCAAAGTCAGAAGGTCCCAACCAAGCCAGACTCCTGAAATGAGACAGGACATCTGTTTCTTCTGCAAGCAGCCTACTGGCAATGAAGGCCTTCATGAGGCTGCAACATTTCAGGTGGACAATCAAGTGCATGCTGCTGCAACCCTACTTCAAGACACAGAATTGCTTGGGCAACTTAGTGCTGGGGACATGGTGGCCATTGAAGCAAAGTATCATACCAGATGCCTAATTGGTCTCTATAATCGTGTCAGACGGGCAAACTTAGAAGGTCTTGAGGGTAATGGCCAGGGACATGCAGCATCAACCTCTGGTGTTGTGTTAGCTCAGTTGGTGCTTTATATAGAAGAGACCAGACAGCATGATGGGTCAGCACCTGTATTTAAACTGTCTGAACTTGTCCAGCTCTACAAGTCACGGATGGAACAGCTAGGTGTAGAGGTTGATAGCAGAGTTCACTCTACACGGCTGAAAGAGCGACTTCTTTGTGAATTCCCTGATATGCGAACTTACCCCAAGGGAAGAGATGTCCTGATGGCCTTTAAAGATTACATCCGCACTGCTCTTGCCAAAGCCTGTGAGCAGGATAACAACGAAGATGCCATGCACATTGCACGTGCTGCACAGATTGTCCGACGTCACATCTTTGGTGAGGCCAAACCACATAATGGTTTTCCCGAAAAACGCCAGAAGGACTCTGTCCCACAGCTGTTACTTACCCTTGTAAACATGATTTTAGAGGGATCTAGCATCAAAGACCAGATGGAAGACGCAACATCTTCTGCAGCAGGACTTACAATTGCTCAGTTGCTGAAATCCAACAGTGTTAAGCACAAGCGGGCACCAAACACCACAGCTTTCGTCAGACACAGTACTGCACAGGAGATGCCAGTTTCATTATACATAGGACTGATGCTGCATGCCCACACACGGAAGATGAGCTTTGGTTGGCTTTTGGAACTGGGAAGAATTTCAGATGCTTGGCAGCCCATGAAATTGCAGCAGGGCTAGAGCCTGAGAAAGCATGTGCACTACCAGTGTTCCATGCGTTGACCGGTCGTGACACCATGTCAAGCTTTCTTGGTCATGGAAAAAGACTGCATGGGCTGTGTTTCCAGAGCTTACACATGTCCTGATGAAACTGTCTTCAGCCCCAAAGGACATACCACAGGAAGTAATGGCCACAATTGAGAGGTTCATTATCTTAATCTATGACCGAACCAGCACATGCACAGAAATCAATATGGCAAGGAGGAAGTTATTTGCAAAGAGGCACAATGTGCAAGCAATCCCTCCCACCGAGGCTGCCCTACAAGAGCATGTCAAGAGAGCAGTATACCAAGGAGGCCACGTGTGGGGTACAGTCCTGGTGTCAACACCAGAACTACCTTCACCGTGTGAATGGGGCTGGTCAAAGACATCTGAGGGGGACTTTGAGCCCTTCTGGACATCCCTACCAGATGCTGGCCAGTCCAGTTATGAACTGGTCTCTTGCAAATGCAAGAAGGGTTGTGTTTTTCTCCATGTTTTATTAGCAGTTTAGCATTGCTTTTTCAGCTTTCAGCACTCAGCATTTCCACGCATTTTCTGCAAGGAAATGCAATTTTTCTAGTTCCACTTAGACTTCCAGATTTGTTCACTGAAAATACAGTAGCCCTTACAATGGCTTTAAGTCTAGTTAAGGTACACTATTATTACAGTACAATACAATACAATGTAATTGTCAATGAGCTTTTAAATAGGGTGTTGGATGCTAAATCTGATAGTCTAGGAAAGGTTTTAATGTAAGAATGTTGTTAGGAGTTTCGATAAATGGATTTAACAATATTGGATTTTCACTTAAACTATCAAAATTTCTGCCATGTGAGGAGTTTCGATAAAAGCAATGCCAAGTGTAATGTGGGACTGTTGTATTGATATTGGATTTTCACTTGGACTTCACTTTGTTGGCATTGGTGTGTACAGTACACCACTTTACGGTGGGAACATAAGGAAGCGAAATCTGCAAAGTGAAGCGGGGCAAAACTCAGTGTTCTGAAGGTGAATATCTACCAGTCTACTACTCTACTCGAAGTAACTATAGGTTATAATGACACGTGAATGTACTGTGTATTGTGACTGGACCACTGTACAGCCCACCCCTGAGTCTAGCTCGGCTATTGGACACTCGGTTCACGATATGGTCGTGACGCGTGATAAATTTGCATGGAGTTGGAGATTTCTGAACTTTTGGACGTGTCGCAAGGACAGTTTCGATGCACTCCAAGGACCATGTCATATTGTGTACACACAATACTATGTGGGAGCGAAATCACTTCTCATAGAAAATAAGTCCAGCTTCTACTAGCTGTCTACTGGGGCCAGCGTTAGGCCCAGGATATGCTTGCCGTGTGCACATTTCATGCCTGAATGCATTGCCATGCGTATTTTATGTCGTGTTCAGGTGTGTTATCACGCGTAACATCAAGGTATGCAGACATGTGCGCATATTGCAATATTGACACAACCGCAAGGGGCGATCTTCCGGACTTCCGTGTTTAGCTCGTGGTAGAGTCAAACAATGGTGGAAAATATTAATGAGAGCCTGGTTGGCAATCTGCCCCCTACATGAAACCGCCAGTATCCAATGTTGCCAATTTAGCGAATTTGTCGCTAGATTTAGCGACTTTTTGCCATCTCTGGTGACTAAAACCTCATCTAGCGACTTAGCGGCTTTTTAGGTGAATCTGGTGACTTAAAAAAAACACATCTCTCGAGTGTCAAAATCATTGTTTTTCAATGTAACTTCAGCTCTGCACCGCCACCAGAAGGTTATTTCATGGTTAAGCAGCACTGCGCATTAGCTCCAATCTCGAAACTGTACCCTTTGGGATTGTCGACATAGCCATGTAGACACATTTTCTTGAGCTCAGTGAGTCGTGTCTGATGTTATGACATCATAGTAACGTCATGACGTAATCTAGCGACTTTTCAGAGAACCAATAGTGACTTTTGGTGATTTGTTTTTGGCAGCACTACCAGTATCATGCATAGTGCTCTGATCTTTCTGCTGCAAGTATGTGCGGTTGCGCACATAAATTAAGTCACACAGCTAGCATATCCTGGGCCTTAGGGCTTACTGAAAGGACTTTAATTCAAAACCCTTGGTAAATCAGAGGCCCTTTAAGAACATTTGTAATCAGAGGGCTCTCTTAACAGTATGCTCTCCCATTAGGGCCCCCACATAGCCAGAAGTCATGACCCTTAGCAGGGGCTTTCATAATCATAGGGCCCTCTGAAAGCATTCCCCCCTACTTCCTTGAACCCCTAGTTGGTAAACGTTAGGGGTCCTTTAGGAGTATTCACGCGAGGCACTACAGCAGGGCCAGCCCAGGGGCCCTCTGACTGCCGTCCCTCATAGCCCAGGGGCCCTCTGATTACCGTCCCCCGTGGCCCAGGGGCCCTCTGACTGCCATCCCCCAAAGCCCAGGGACCCTCTGATTGCCGTCCCTGTCCCCCCCGCCCAATTCATATCACCCATCTCTCTCGGTTCTCTTCAGATATGCCCTATAACAGTGTGAGTAGTCATAAGATCCTAGAGAATAGAGGCCCTCTGACATCGCAATTGGCATCGGCATCTACATCACTTTGGCCCCCCCCCCCGGGCCCCTGGGCGCTGGCCCCACTGGCCCGGTCCGTAATACGGCCCTGCGCAGGGGTGTGTGTAGGACTGCAGCCCTGCTCCCTGATCTCTGCTCTGAATTGTCAGTGGTTCAGACTAATAACATCAGCCAGATTTCTGGATAAACGTGCCGCTCGATCTCGAGTGGGATGAATGCCGTCCCAACTAATCAGACCAGGCTTGCCCCAAAACGACTTCCAATTATCAATGAAGCCCACGCCGTTTTGCGGACACCACCTCGACAGCCAGGGGTTGAATGATGAGATACAGTGAAACATCATATCAGTGGTCTGATCGGGCAGGGAACCAGAGAAAACTACGTAGCCCGACATGGTTTTGGCATATTCACACACCGATTCCACGTTGAATTTAGTGACTTCCAACTGGCAGCGCCGGGAGTCATTAACGCCGGCATGTATTACAATCTTACGGAATTTGTGTTTAGCCTTTGCCAGCAGTTTTAAACTCCTTTCGATGTCACCTGCTCTTCAGAGTCTCCAATCACAGGAGCGTCAGGCTCAGCAGGTGTGTTGCTGAGAGGGGCAAATTTGTTTGAAATGTGAATATGGTGGTCTAACGTGGGCTTCTTAGGCCTGCTGCTATGCTTCCCTTTCACAGTGACCCAACCACTACTACATACCGGCTGCTCGGGGTCTGCCGGGGGGGAAGCTAAGCTAGGCCGACCCGCACCAGCTACCGGGTCCTGGCTGGCTACCGCTACTCTAGCATCGGTGCAGAGCCGCTTTTCCAACTCTGTAATCCTCGCCTCCAGAGATAAGAATAAGCTACACTTAAAGCAGGTATCGTTATCGTCTAAGGAGGACAAGGAGTAATTAAACATCTGACACACTGAGCAGAAGCGAGCAGGAGAAGCTAGAGACCGGGGAGAAGCCATCGTTAGCAAGTGAAGCTAAGATTAGCTAAGCTAAGAGAAGCTAAGAGCTAGTAAAGTAAACCACCAGAGAGATCACCCGGAATGGAGATAAAGACGGTGCTTGGTGAAAACTATCACATATAGTTACAGACTTTTAAACAAACAGATGTATTGATAGATTAAAGAGAGAAAATAACCCAAACAGCAAGAACGCTAACAGGAGGAACAAAACGCTACACACAGTCCAACAGCAAGGAAGGGAATGATGCAATGCGCACGCTCACCAGTCAGGAGGAGGAGTCAGCAGCCTCGGACAGGGCCGTTAGACAAACCTCGCTATCCATCACAACATTCACACATCAGACAAGATATACACACTCCCGAATTTGTACTAAATATTCAGACCTACATCGTTGTGGTGTGGTCATACAATTAACATTGTCAGTAAAGGAAGGATGTATGTGCTGAACAACAAAACGAAACACACACTGTGGTGTTTTGACTTCAGGTTATCACCTTTCATCTCTGTTTATTCTATAATCTCTTTGTCTGAGAGACAGACAAGAAAATCTGCAGGCGATGGGGGCGACACACACACACACACACACACACACACACACACACACACACACACACACACACACACACACACACACACACACACACACACACACACACATCTGCTCCTTAATACATTATTAAAAGACTATTAAACCAGGATCACACAAGCAATAAACACACACACACACACACACACACACACACACACACACACACACACACACACACACACACACACACACACACACACGGGTCCTCAGCTGCCAGTCTTAGTCACCATGGCGACAACTGTGTGACCTGCTGGAGAGCAGCTGGTGGACCCTGACTGTGATGCTGTGATGAGAGTCATGAGTGTGTTAGAGAGAAAGAGATACCAAACAAAGAGGAGGCTTGTTAAATGCTGGACACACACCTGAAGCCTGGAGGAGGGGAGAGTAGATGATCAGAGTATTGATTGTTGGTTTCATTCTCCAATTTATTGTAGTCTCCTGTAGTGTGGAGGGAGTGTTGACAGTTAAGACAACACCATCTGTTTCCACGCTTACAGAGAAACATAAAGAACATGCAGAGACATGTCTGAGTGTCTGGTTGGCACAGACAGAGTTATGTGTTTGTCTCATTCAACCATGATTACAGAGTTTCTGTGAGTAAAACATGAAGACCTCCTCTGTGTCATTTTTTGTCACTGACTCACTCTCTCCACTGTCTTTCTGCTCTCACTTCAACCACAAATTACACCTGGAGGATTTGTCTTATATCTTATAAATTTAATGTAAAAATCTTATCTACTCAACTGTTTCTGCCAAGGGTATTCAATCTCTCAAAATTTCTTTAAAAGTGTTCTCAAACAACACAATTTTTTTTTAACAAAGGTATCAATCAAAATGACCATCTCTTCTTTTTCTCAAGAGAAAAGATGTATAAGCAAGGGAAGGAAAGGATACACACACGTAAAGTGTGTTTGAAATGTGTTTATTGACATGCTAATACCCAGCTTACTTACCTGACTGATTTGCATAACTTCCGACTCACTTTACATGATCCAAGATTTAAGAAACACACAGACCTCCCATTGAAGGGGTGTGAGGACAGTCAAAATAGAAAGCTTCCAGTGGAAACAAAGAATCACTGCTTTTCATACTAAGGTTTTAGCCATTTCAGACCATATATTGTGAAGGAGGTGAGGGGTTATTGAGGGACCTCAGCCCCCAGCTGGCCTGTGTGACACTGTGATTACACGGTTCACAGTTTGGGCCTCTAATCCACCAGGATAGCCTGGAAAGTTAATTTACATGACAATAAGAACAGACAATAAAATATAAGAGACATGGATTCTGGTTTGACTGAAGCAAGGTGATGAGGGGAAATGTGCATGGTTTTAAAAAAGATATCTTAAAAATATCTAGAGTTTAAGTACATTTTCGTAAAAAGATATATAGTCACAGATCTATGGGTATTGAAACTACATTTAAGATTTCAACAAGGTAAGTTAAAAATAGTCAAAGCTTGTAGCCCTCGTAATTCTCCAATGTGATTTTTTGAATTTGTTTAAAAGGACTCATCAATGATAGATCTGTGATTTTTTACTTTGCTATTTGATATCTCACTTAATGTTGGATTTCAGGTCTTTAATATGTTGGTGTTTTTTCGCTCTAACATGGTATCAAGGAGTTACAACAGATGTAATATGTAAAAACACACACACACCTATGAAAACCCCCTTCATAACAAGAAAAACTCCGACTCCTCTTTGTTGTGGGTCTCCATATATATGTATGTTGGTCAAGTGTCAACCTCAGTGAGTTGGTCGGTAATTACAGAAAGACCCAGATAAGAGTAATTTTAAGCTCCTGTGAGAACCTTTCAGTCTTAGTGACTTCAAATGACTAACGGTGTCACTTTATTCCTCTGTCATCCTTTACATGAAGAGTTTCCAGGTTAAGAAAAATCTCATCCTGCTTTCTTTCAGAAGTATTGACTGTGTATCTTTTCCTGCAAATTGTGAAATAGGCTGTTTCTGCTGTGTGCTGTTACCCGCCCCATTTAACATGCACTCACTGGCCACAACATCAACAACGTGTAATAAAAATAACTAAAGGCTCAGTCACACCTCTCACCGATGCTGTCATATTTATTGGTCAGCCATATAAAGAATCAGTCTTAAGTTTGTTCCATGACCAGCCAAGAACGGTCACCCACAGAGGAGCTCCAAATATTTCCCTTTAAGCCATTGATAGTAAGCTCACCCGGGGACCAAGACCAAGATTTCATCACTTGGTTAAAGAGAGTGTTAAAGTCTTATCACTTTTTAATTTCTCCAAATCATGAAATCATGACCTTGAAGGCCAAAGAAACAGTTTTATCCTATAATTTTGATACATTTGTGTATGTGAGAAGCAACCAAGTTCAACTGTGAAAAGACTTAGAAATTATTTCAATGAAGTATAGCATATAGTTTATATCATACAGTATATCTACAACCCGAACTTCATAGTTGTGTTAAAGCTGAATATTAATAAAACAGATTTGGATGGTTTGCAAATGTCTCTCCTACTCTTAAGTCATGTCATTGTAATACATGAACACTGTAGTTTGGCTGTATGATTCAAGGTCCTCCCAGAAAAAGGCTGAAAATGTGCACTGATGACAAGTCAAATGGTCCTTACCCTCTTTGGAACAGAGGATGCAGTGTCAGTTTTTGATTTGTCAGGCTGCAGGGAAGTTTTCCAATTTCCCTCAGTCCATCTTGAATTGGCCTGAGCAAATACAAGTGGCTGATATCTCTGAATCATATTTATATTTTATTTCCTCTTGTTCAGTTTAAACCTGTATTTGTGGGTACAGGGACAACTGTGTTCACAGACAGGGGTTTATGGATGTGAACTGAGCCCATGCAGTGATCTCCACTTCAGTGTTTACCTCTTTTCAGCTGAGAAATTAATTTATATCTTTTGGCTGTATATCAAAAGGCTGTGTAGTGATATTGGTAAAAAAATGAATTTTCTATCATTTTCATCATTTTGGAGCCTTGTCCCCTGAGCTTTGTGTCTACGTCAAGACCATGTACTTGATACATATCAACAGATAAATATTTATTAAAGGCTGAAGGATAAAACAATCATTGACAGTATTTGAGTTGCAAAGAAAGGAAAAGAGACATGTTCAAACAACATTACAAAATGTCAAATACCAAGCAGAAGTCATGAAAGTGAAATGCAAAATTAAGAACAGAGTAGTGTAAGATTTCTCTTTATTTACATAAATGTATCTTTAGATTTTACTCTACTGTAACTAAGACTTTACTGTACAACCCACCAGGAAACAGCAGTGGAAACAGTTACAGTTTAATGTGTTTTGAAGTAACCCTCTGCTTTCATGAAATCACGGTGCATTGCATTAGAGCACCCCCAGGTGGCGGCTCCCCACTGAGAAGAGAGTATACAGGAAACACACTGATAAAACTACCTTAGGAGGGCACAGCTTCTGCTATCATAAGATCTACACCTTCATCACAGGAGAATGTTTACAGAATCATCATCACAGTTTCAACAGTCAGAGGATTTGGACCTCCATCCTGGATTTACTTCCTCTCTGGGCCGGATCACTGTACAGGAGACTGACTCTGTGGACATCTAGCTGTTGTCCGCCTGCAGCATCTTTTCAATCTCTTGGTCCCACTGGTCATCTTTGTTGTCAGACTCTGTGACCACCTCGTACTCCTGCAGCTCCTGCTGTAGCTCCTTCTCCCAGTCTGCTGATTCATCTGAATAAAGAGAAGAGGGAGGGTTAGCGATAGCTCCCCCATAAAACAGACTCACAACACACATCCCTGTTAGGCTAATAAATGCTTCACTTGAAGACCATTTTGTACCTACCCTATTTTATTCATGTCCTATTCTGTTCATTTATACTCAACACTAAAAAGATGACACACACATCTTGTTTCATCAACTAAAATTCACGTGCTTTTTCCTCCTCATTTAAATTTTTTTTTATCGTCTGTTTGATGTTTTATTTTTGCTTTCATGATATCTGGGGCCTATTCTTGGAAGCAGGATTACTGCTTAGCGAGGTAATTTCGAGGGTAAGTCCGGGGTTTCCTGTTCTACGACGCGGGTTCACTTCTTAGCGAGGCGAGTCTCCATGGCAACGAACGCTGACCGACTAACCTGCTCCGGGGCAGGTTAGGTTCCAGATTGAACTCACTGAGTATAAAAACCCCGCCCACTGACCAATGAACTCTCTCGAAAAATGGCTTGTCCATTCTTGGAGGATCCTATAGACCCCGGTGCCCCCATTGTCCGAGGAGCACTCCGGCAAGAGTTTTCAGGGACCGCACGGACCCACTTACTTTTCCGGATGACCACCTTTATGAAAGGCTCATATGGCCTACATATCACACAAAAAATGTAAACACGATAGGAATGAACAAATGAATGAATTCATCTTGGAAAATGAATTAGATATGTCTGGTGCATGTTAAAAGCGCATGTTGAGCAGTGCAGTGATAATGGCATCATAGATTTTTTGCACATTATACTTACACATTTAGACTGTCTGCAATTTTCTGCCTGCAATTCCTTCGCGCTTTTGCAGCGGCGACGGTGTTGCTTTTGAGATTTATGATAGATTTAAATTCTTCATACTTTCTCATGATCGTCTCCTGCTCCTCGTTTGTAAAGTACGCAGTCCTTTGCTCTCCGGCCTGCTCTGACGCTCCAGACTGGTCCATGTTCGCGGTTGGTCAGATGCAGCGGACTCCACCTTACATGCATGCACACGCTCATAGCAAAGTTCGATCCACTTATGAGGTTGATAACCAGCGTCGTAGGCCCGTTTAGCGGGATCGCTGGCTACCGCGCTAAGTTGAGCAAGGTAGCTCCAAGGCTACCTCGCTAGGTCGAACTTGTTCCGTAGAATAGGCCCCTGGTACTCTGTCTCAGTCTGTATGACCAAATCGTTTTCTATCTTTCTCTTTTTTTACCTAAAAAAAAACAAGGGAAATAAAAGAAAACACACTTGTTTTTCTTCTTCATGTCCTTTTTACTTTTCATGATTTCAGTTTGGATACTTTATCTCTGGTTTAAGAATAAGAATAAGAACTTTATTGATCCCTAAAGGAAATTTAATTGTCTGTTGTCTCACGAAATATGTCTATAAAAGTTATCTATTATTTAAATAAGAGTTAAAAAGCCTGATGGCTGTTGGTACAAAAGATCTTCTAAATCTTTCTGTCCTGCAGCGGTAAAACATCTGCAGCATCTTACTACAGATGTCCATTGATCAGAGTCTTCTCAGACAAAAGAGGCGGCTCTGCCCCTTTCTGTAGATGTAGTCTATATTCTTAGACCAGTCCAACTTGTTATCTAGATGTACACCTAGGTATTTATGTGATGTCACCACTTCGATGTCCACTCCACAGGTGTTCACTGGCTGAAGAGGGGGTTTCGATCTACGGAAGTCTATGACCATCTCTTTTGTCTTTGAGGTGTTAAGGAGGAGGCAGTTTTTGTGACTCCAGTCACTGAAGGCTTTTATCAGATCTCTGTATTCAGCTTCTTGTCCATTTCTGATACATGCCACAATAGCGATGTCATCTGAGTATTTCTGGATGTGGCAGGACTCAGTGCTGTATTTGAAGTCTGACGTGTACAGTGTGAACAGGAATGGCCCCAGCACTGTCCCTTGAGGAGCCCTGGCCTGTACTGCTCATTAATGTCCCAGAAACACAGTTCCCCAACCTGACAAACTGTGGCCTTCCTGTCAGGTAATCTACGATCCAGGAAACACAGGAAGGATCCACTCCCATCTCTGTGAGCTTGTCTTTGAGTATGGTGGGTTGGATGGTGTTGAATGCACTTGAAAAGTCGAAGAACATGATCCTCACATAAACCCCAGGCTCCTCCAGATGAGACAGGGCATGGTGAAGCATGTAGAGGACAGCATCATCCACTCCAATGTGTTCTTTGTATGCAAACTGCAGGGAATCCAGTTTGTCTCAGACCTCAGACCTCAGAGGGCGTAGAATCAGCCGCTCCAGGGTTTTCATGATGTGTGAAGTGAGGGCCACTGGTCTGTAGTCATTGAGTTCAGCAGGACATTTTGTTTTTGGTACTGGCACAATGCAGGATGTTTTCCACAGAACAGGTACTGCCCCAGCTGTAGACTCAGGTTGAAGATCTTGTAGAGAGGTTGACACAGTTCTGCAGCACAGCAGCCTTCCCAGGACACAGTCTTCCCAGCTCCATCCTCACCCCTGTTTCGGTGACAGACAAGGACTGGTGTTCTGGGAGGGAGGCAGTTGAAGTGGTTGAGACATTTGAACGAGATGGAGGAGGAAGGGGAGAAGTTGTAGTGGAGATTTGTTGCGAAGAGGAAGGTGGAGTAGCAGTGGAAGTGGGAGTGACAGCAGTGTCAAAAATCTGTTGAAGAACAGGTTGAGTTCATCAGCTCTTTCCAGATCACCCACCACTGGCTGTCTTTTCTTTTTACTGCTGTGTCCAGAGATGGTACTGATTCGTCTCCACACTTCACAGATGTTGCTGTGTTGTAGATTCTTCTTGATCTTCTTTTTGTACTCCAGCTTTGCCATCTTCAGTCTCCTCTTCAACTCTTGTTGCACTTGTCTGAGTTGTTCTTTGTCACCATCTTTAAAAGCTTTCTTTTTCTGTTTAAGGATTGCTTTTATGTCTCTTGTGATCCAGGGTTTGTTGTTGGGGAAACAGCAAACAGTTTTTGTGGGTAAAACTGTGTCTCTACAGAAGTTGACATATTCATTAAAACAGTCAACCTGTTTGTCAATGGTCATACTATCCACATCTGTTTCCAGCAGCTCATTCCAGTCTGTTGATTTAAAACAGTCCCTTAGAGCTTCACTGGCTTGAGGTGTCCATCTCCTTATTTTGACTTTGGTCACAGGCTGCCTCAGTACACAAGGTCTGTAACAGGTTTGCAAATAGACCAAGTTATGATCTGACTTGCCCAGTGGTAGTAAGGCAGTGGCTCTGTTGGCTTCTTTGACGTTGGCATACAGCAGATCCGGGGTTTTGTTTTCTCTGGTAGGACAGTTCACACACTGTGTGAATCCAGTCAGGTGAGAGGAGAGGGTGACATGGTTGAAGTCTTCCGATATTATTATTAGTACCTCCGGATGTTGAGTCTGTAGCCTGGCAACACTTTTTTGCAAAAATTGCAACATTCTTCAGTTGATTTGGGTGGGATGTAAACAACTACTGTGATGATATGACTGAATTCTCTTGGAACATAATATGGCCGAAGAGCAACTGCCAACAGTTCAATATCTGGACAACACAACTTCTCCTTGACAGTTATATGTAAAGGGTTACACCATCTCTGGTTGACAAATAAAGTCAGACCTCCTCCTTTCTTCTTGCCACTAGCTTGAGCATCTCTGTCTGACCTTATGAGAGTGAAGCCAGGTAGATCCACACTGGAGTCGGAGTTGTTTTGATTTCACCAGGTTTCAGTAAAGCACAAGAAACTGCACTCACGGTATGCTTTCTCAGTCTTCACCAAGATCTCCAGCTCATTGCTTTTGTTGGGGAGAGAGTTGACGTTTCCCATGATGATTGATTGAAGAAAGGGTTTATATCGCCACGTCTTAGCACGGCACGGCAACCATGATAACACCTCCTGATGTCCTCTGGAACTGTATGTTGTTGCCCAGATTTGGTTTTCCTCAATGAAAGGAGCTCTTCTCTTGAGTAAACGCTTTGCCCAGCAGAAGTATCCATCAGCAGCCAACAAAATTACAACAAGAATATGAAAAAGATCTAGCATAAATTACAAAAACTACAGATAATACAGAGAGACCGGACTTGCAGCAACCTCTCGGTTCAAGCGCATCATTTGAATCATGTCTGATAACTCTGTGACTCACCTTGTTAGCCCCCACACTGGGTTTTGTTTGTTTCATGTTGTTTAACCCACAAAAAAAGATGAATTGACCCATTCCATTCAAAAAAAGAGAAACACCAACCATCCTGAGTGGAGACGCTCTCCTTCTTATCAAGAACCAGCTGCTCCATCTCTTTCCTCAAGTCCTCGTGGTTGATGGCGGTTGAGTCAAAAGCGTCACTCACAAACTCAGACACTCCAGGACTTGTGGACATCTCCTCTTCTTCCTCTTGAGGTGGCTGAAACAGATGCATATGAGACACAAATGAGACAGAAAAGAGGCTTCTTTACTTCTCCCTGTGCAGCCTTTAGCCTTTGAATGACAGATTTAAGTTGTGTACACATTTATTTTTGGTTCTCTTACCTTCTGTGCACTGCTGATGGAGACTGGAGGAGTTTTAGGCCTGACGTCTAAAACAAAGAGAAAAGCCCTCTTAATTTTCACAGTTTCGACCTGGTATGATGATAGCTAAAACCACTGATATGGAGACTTTCTATGCACCATATTACAACAGTGCATTTAACAATGCAAGGATTTAATTGGCAAAGGATGAAAAAGGCACATATACAGAGCACAGAGCAGGGTACTGAAGACTGTATCACTGTTTCACCTGTACAGATTTCTGACCCAATGATAGAGCAATCCCACATCTCAAGCTCCATGTGTTTGTAAATGTCAGCACAAGACACAAGAACTGGGCATCTTTTTAATTTTTAGGCATAAGAGATTTATTTTCTGCATTTTGGTCAACTCAACCACGACAGTTGATGGTTTTGTATAATTTTTGAGGACTCTTCTAGTGTCTTTTGTTTCAGATTTCATCTTTTCATTTGTGTATCTGTCACGTTTTACTTGTGGAACGCCATTTTTTTCCAATTAATTTCCAAGTTCTGAATTTTTTTTAGCACTGTTTCATCACATTTTAGTCCTATAGCCCAGGGGTTCTCAATTAGAAATGTAAAAGATCCAGAAAATAAATTTTGAGGAAGTCATAGGTCCACAGCACGTGTGTGGCGGCGAAAAAATGTTGGGTTATTTTTTTATAATTTTTTTTTCTTTTTTTATGTTTTTATGTAGTTTTAGGCTGGGTGTACTATACTGTAATAATCAGGAGTTATTGGAAGGCACAAAAACATTCATTTTCAGCATCACACTGATATTCTTTCTTACTTAGTATTACTCCATAAAATAATAAGCTTTTTATTTTATCTGTTTGTAGCTCAGATTTTTGGGGGCAATCTCTATCAAAATCGCTTCTCATGGCGTTTTATGTTTTCACTTTTTATCAGAGCAACAGTGCTTTGCACAAAAGACCCATTGGCTTTGTGCTTAAAGGAGGTAAGATAATCATATATTTGTCGGTCCATTCGTCAGTGAATCAGCGATTTTCAGTGTCCATCTTTCTTTAATTTGCCGTTTTGATGTCGGGTGCTGGGGTGTGAGCAACGCTCCTGCTGCAAAGACGTTACCTCTGCCTGCACCGTGCCCTCCCTCTCTCTCGGCCAGTCTAACTTTGCGTCAGGCAGTCAGAGAGAGTGCCGTGCCGTGTTGTTGATTTTTTTTTCTCTGGGTCCACAAAAAGGTGGTCCGCAGTCCGGATGTGGACCGCGGTCCGCCTATTGCGGACCCTGGCTATAGCCTGTTTGTACCTTTAAATGAAATTTTGTCTCAAATATCTATAGATATTTTGGTTTCATTATGTGTAAACAAAGCAAACTGGATCCTTCTCTAGAACTTTAGCATTTTCTTGAAATTACAATACAGGCAAGAGAAAACTGAAGAAGTAAAAGAAAGTTTCAGAGCATCTTCCTGTTACCATAGTAACTAACCTTCACCATTCTCTGTGCAATGTGCTAAAAGAAGCAAGAGCTGCTTTTCTGCTACCAACTGTGCAAACTCTGATCATAATGTGCAGAGAGGAATAAAATCATCAAGATTATACTTTAATTACACTGCAGCTACACCCTTAGAGATGTCACAGCTGGCAGCCACCTTTCTTCCTCAAATTAGAAAAACTTGCCCACTTATCAAAAATGAACTCAACGGGACTTCAACACATCTGTGTCATTACTGATCACACTTTTAAGTATGTTTGCAACAGTGTCATAAACATAAACAGCAAAGACAACTTTTTGGGCCAGAAAATCCAAAATTTCAGACAATTTCAGAGAAATAACATCCCTAATAATGAATTACCAGAACCAACAGTATCAGGGTCTGACCTGTCAGGACGACGTCCTCAGGGGACACACTGGCCCCTCTCTCCTCGCCATCTTTCTGCTGCTGCTGAGCTGCGAGTGCTGTGAGCTGGGCTGACTGCTTGATCAGAGACACCCGGTAGAAATAATTCCTCCAGAAGACGTCCTCCTTCACACTGTTGAACACAAACACATCGCCATCCCTCTTACATTTGAACTCCAAAGGTTAATTTGACACATGCCAACACCATCATAAAAGGGCTACTGACTGTTTAGGAACCAGATCGAAGCGCATGCGGTTGAGGAGCTGGTCTTCCTCCAGCATTACTGCAGCCAGAGGATACATTTGCTCCATGTCAAAGTGGAACTGGACACCAGCTGGAGGATCTCGCAAGAAGTTCCTCTTGTCCTGAAATCAGAAGAGGAAAGAAACACGCCAGTGAGCAGAAGTCTGGGTCAAGTCAGAGCTAGAATTTGGCTGACCCATCCACACATGCTGCTCAGTTTTGTGCTTTTGTCAAAGTCAATAATCTTATGATTAGCAGACATGTCAATGAAATGTATGATGTGTTTTCTTACAGCTGAGAGAGCGAGGATCTGCTGCTGGATCGTCTCCTCCTCATTGTATCCGACCCAGGGAGGCACTGCTGCTTCTGGATCGACATGAACACACGCAAGCAAATCACACAAACTATAATATCACCCCCAGTCAGTGACAAAAAAAGTCACTTTGACATAAAACACACAAAATTAACTCTGTATGGGTGTTTCATCACTCAGTCACTAGTTTCAAGAGCTGCCTGATCAATCTAATCACAATTGCAGTTGTGATTCTTGCTTTCCACAATCCTGGAAATGTGACGATCAAGATTTAACAATGACCACATTGCCTACTGTGCTCTTCTTGTATATCTAACTCTCCACTGAAGGGAAGCTGGACTTGTTTGAGGTTCTTGAAGCAGAGATGGGAAAATGTGGAGTCACCAAGTCATCTCCATGCCATGTATTTGTTCTGCTCAGTTACTGAACCAGGTGCCTTCACTAATGAGCTCACCTTCCTGGCTGCTCATTGGAAACTGGTTCAGTGACAGAGCAGAACAAATACATGGCATGGAGATGACTTGGTGACTCCACAATTGCCATCTCTGGCTGTGTCCGAAATGGCATACTGCCTACTGTCTACTTACCTACTCAATCAGTACATACTGCCTACTGACTACTCAAAGATGATTTGAGTATGCCGCGGCTGCCCGAGCGTTTACACACATACATACTAAATACCCCAGAATGCATTTCGTGCCGGCCGAACGCAGCGCCAGGAAAATTTAAATAGTCCTACCACAAGCTACACAAAACCAAATTATATAAATTCATTCAGTAATAATATTTTTTCTAGCGAGAAAGTAAGTGTTTACATCACGATTATGAGCCAAGTTGTTTGAAATAGCGGCTTTTTGTATTTATTTCTGTTTTCGGAGACCGAAGTGTCTGCTTGGTGGGTGTTTGCTTTCTCCGTACCGTAAACACCGGGCAGCAGCAGCTCCCCCTTCACGTTTCCAAATTATTGCAAAGTGTTTTCATAATCAACAACTACGCGACACAAACCGAGCGGCAGTGGATGAAAAAAATAACACAAACGTCTGTGTATCCATGGTGATAATGCTATACACCACCTGCTAGGCGTGTGAGCAGCATAGGGCTGCAAAATGACCAACACACAACATAATTATTATGACCTTGTTCGGTTATTCCTTGGCAAATACATCATTTCGTCTTTTCTTCAGGGCAGCTATGTACTTCCTAATGGATTTTCAACCACAAGTAAGAATTAGTAAAGATCACATATACTGTACATTGTCAACTGGAAACTCCCCCGTTTGTATATTCTGAACCATGTGCTCTCTACCAAATAATAATTTTTATTAATCAGAGGTCTGTGCTTAATATGAGTGACCACTTTGATGATGCATTCAGAGATGAGAAGATGCTCAAACTTGTTGTAATAAATACATCTTTAATGGACACTTAAATAAAGTCAATTCATACGAATAGTTAAAAACATTACCTATAATCCTAATTTAAAATACAAATAAATCTGGTAAAAAGATAAAAATATGATAAAATGATAAAAAATTGTGTAATGTATACTGACTAAATATTGTTTATCTATTTATATATATATATATCATTGTTATTACAATCACATGCCGTCTGTTTCTTTTCAGCCTCGGGAAAGAGGGCCATACTGCCAGCTGAAGTGCGCAATGCATTGTGGGGCAGAAGCAGTACGTGAAGCAAGCTCCATACTCAGAAATCGAAGCCGATTGAGTATACATCCGGGCATTTCTCGCATACACAAAATTCGCATACTGTACAGTGTGAACGCACTGCCTACTCAATTTGGGGGCAGGGTTAGTATGAGTAGTACGAGTAGTATGCCATTTCGGACACAGCCTCTGTCTTGAAGACGTTTCTCCTCTCTTCAAAATGGCGTCTTCAGTTCCTTTTGGCTGAGAAGAGAAACGTCTTCAAGAACCTCAAACAAGTCCACTTCCCGGTCACTGAAAAATTGGATGACCATGACCTGGATGGATGAGAACCTACGCAGACTTCTGCCTTATAAAGTCATGTGCAGGGATGGAGTGCACCCTCCCCTTCCAGGGGCTACAGTGATCATGAACTTTGATAAGATGAGTACTGTCAGGCTAAACGGGGATCACCAAGTACAAGCCCAAATCTTCATATAAAGAAAGCCTGAAGAGGTTCTCTGCTCCTTCTGTTCCCTGATCTCTTCAGTTGTTCTACTATGGACAAAAATATTACCTAAAATATAACTTTAAACACAACTGTATTTATACTGACACTGTTTTCCGACTACAGTTTGCTTCATATCAATGTAGTGACAATTTCTTAGATCAAATGCATGCATAACAAGCAATAAATGTGGATGTTCCTTGTGTTAAAATAAGAGTTTTCTTGTGTGTTTTTCTAGTTTTGCTTTCAACCTCTTTATTTTTATCTCCATTTTCCACACATTTTCTGAAAAGTGTGGCTGCTTTGAAGAGTCTTTATGCCATGACACGTTTCAAGCCAGTCATGACATCTTTTTTACTTCTTCTTTTTTACTTCTTTGCTGTCCCTCTCTTTTGCAAAGAGTTAATCTAGTGTTTATTCAGTTAGCCGTTTGAATGAATTATTGAATTTTGTTACCTACAGTATACAGTATATCACAAAAGTGAGTACACCCTTTAGATTTTTGCAAATATTCTGTTATATCCTTTCAGGGGATAACATTATCCTACTGAAACTTTGATATAACTTAAAGTAGTCAGTGTGCTGCTTGAATAACAGTATAGATTTATTGTCCTTTGAAAATTACTCAGTACACAGCTGTTAATGTCTAAACAGCTGGCAACAAAAGTGAGTACACCCCGCAGTGAACATGTCCTAATTGTGCCCAATGATGTTGTTTTCCCGCCCTGGTGTCATGTGACTCGTTAGTGTTAAAAGGATTCAGGTGTAAATGATAAGCAAGGCTGTTAAATTTGGTGTTTTGGGCACAATTCTCTCTGAACGCTGGACAACATGGCACCTCATGGCAAGGAACTCTCTGAGCAGCTGAAAAAAAGGATTATTGCGCTTCACAAAGATGGCCTTGGCTATAAGAAGATTGCCAACATCCTGAAAATGAGTTGCAGCACAGTGGCTAAGATCATACAGCGGTTTTCCAGGACAGGTTCCACTCGCAACAGGCCTCGCCAGGGTCGACCTAAGAAGTTGAGTCCACGTGCTCAGCGTCATATCCAGAGGTTGGTTTCCAAAAATAGACGTGTGAGTGCTTCCAGCATTGCTGCAGAGGTTGCAGAAGTGGGATGTCAGCCTGTCAGTGCCCAGACCATACGCCGCACACTGCATCAAATTGGTTTGTATGGCCGTCACCCCAGACAGAAGCCTCTTCTGAAACCGCTGCATAAGAAAGCCCGCAAACAGTTTGCTAAAGACAATGAATCGAAGAACATGAGTTACTGGAACCATGTTCTGTGGTCTGATGAGACCAAAATAAACCTGTTTGGATCAGATGGTGTCCGGCATGTGTGGCGGCACCCTGGTGAGGAGTACCAAGACAAATGTGTTTTGCCTACAGTCAAGCATGGTGGTGGCAGCATCATGGTCTGGGGCTGCATGAGTGCAGCCGGCACTGGGGAGCTGCAGTTCATTGAGGGACACATGAATTCCACTATATACTTTGACATCCTGCAGAAGAGCATGATCCCTTCTCTCCGGAAACTGGGCCGTAGGGCGGTTTTCCAACATGATAATGACCCTAAACACACCTCCAAGATGACAACAGCCTTGCTGAAGAAGCTGAAGGTTAAAGTGATGGACTGGCCGAGTATGTCTCCAGACCTAAACCCAATTGAGCACATGTGGGGCATCCTCAAGAGGCAGGTGGAGGAGTGCAAGGTGTCCAACATCCATGAGCTCCGTGATGTCGTCATGGAGGAGTGGAAGAAGATTCCAGAAGCAACCTGTGCAGCTCTGGTGAATTCCATGCCCAGGAGGGTTAAAGCAGTGCTAGATAACAATGGTGGTCACACAAAATATTGACACTTTGGGCACAATTTAGACATGTTCACTACGGAGTGTACTCATTTTTGTTGCCAGCTGTTTAGACGTTAACAGCTGTGTACAGAGTAATTTTCAATTGACAATAAATCTATACTGTTATTCAAGCAGCACACTGACTACTTTGCATTATTTCAAAGTTTCATTAAGATAGTGTTATCCCCTGAAAGGATATAACAGAATATTTGCAAAAATCTAAATTATTGAATTTTGTTACCTACAGTATATACTCTGGGTCTTATTAAGCTGAACAGGAATTTCATGGTATGCATCTGACTTTCTCACAGTACCTTTTCATCCTCTATCATGTGATCCTATGTATAACATGCTTGGTGTGGTATTTCTAAAGATCATCTATACTGTTTGCTTTATGATCTTTTATTTACATTTCCAAACGTGAATGTCATATAAGTCATGTTGCCCTTTTACTTTACTTCTTAAGAGTAGAAAAGAACTTAATCAACAACATTCAGTTCCAAAACAAAGGATATCAAAATCCCACAAATTTAACGGATCATCATAAAGAGACTAAAAATAGATCATTTGAATGTCAGGCACGAGCCTCCAACAGATAAGTGGGTTTTTCTACATACCCGCTCTTTGCTCCTTCCCTGACAGCAGAGGCTGATGACAGTTAAAATCAACAAACATACCAATGAACTTATTTGGTACTTAAATTGTGGACATTGTATATAGTTTTATTTTCTTCTCCCTTTTTCCTTTTATCTAATTTTTTCTTAATTATAACATCTATTTAAGTTCTTAATATTACGCTCTTTATTTTTATAACTGCATTTTTGCACTATCTTTGTCTGTGATGCTGCTGTGGCAAAAAAAAATTCTCCCATGGGGGATCAAAAAAGGAATATTCTATTCTATTCTATTTGACAGACTGGGGAGGAGTATCACCTCAGGTTAATATTAAAGCTATAAATCCTCAGAAAGCCCTTGAAGCCTTCCATATACTCTGCTAGCTATTAAATCTCTGTCTGTGTTTGCTATAGCTCCTCTCTGTTGTTTGAATTTGACTTCAATGGTAAATGCTGCAGTACAGACATGCTTCGCCATCATTTTCTCAGATAATAGTTCTTAAAATAAATTTAAAAAAAATCATCAGAGAATCTTTTCAAGAGTGTGTTTACTGTCTTTATGTTTTACCTGATCTTTTGGACTTCTTCTCTTGGACAAACTTCTCTTGTTCCTTCTGGAAGTCTCCAATAAAGGTCTGAAAACACATACAGATGCATGTTAAGTGGAGAAAAGGAGAAAATGTTTTCTTTATAGCTTGGCTATTAAATACTTGATTCTGATTAGACAAATCCTCCAGCAGCAGTAAGTCAGCCTTAACCGTAAAGTTGATGCCAGGGACAACTTAGTGGCAGACATCCACTGATCAGTCCATGAAGAGAAGTCAGATACATTTGACCTCTGCCTGTTAACACTGTGGCAAAAACATTAGTTTCTGTTTCATGCTGGTTTTGAGTCAGGGAGTATGACAGTCAGCAGGCACAGACATTTGCATATAAGCCACTGAGCTACATCTTTAATAACAAAAAGGTGGAGCAACACCCTGTCCTGCAATCCAACAACAACAACAACAGCAGAATTACCTATAGGGTTACTAATCACTACAAAGTCATTGAAAAGTGCACTGTGCAGAAACTGGGATATTAGCAATATCTTGGAGTCAGGTTTAAGACTGACATGCTGCCCTGCTCGTGAACAGGGAAAGCATTCAAGGGCAAGAAGCTGCTGTGATGTGATGTATTGCACAATAGTATGATCCTCCATTATTCAAGTTTACCATCAAAAACATCAATCAATTTAGATTATTTTGTGCACAAAAACAACCACCATTCTTCTTCCAGTAGGTGCATTTTGTGCAGCTATGCAAAACAATACAAACAAATGCATGTCACTAGTTTCTCTGTTATGTGCTACTGTAAAAACATGGGGCCTCCATAGAAAGAGACCTTTTGTACCCTTTATTGATATGAAAGGTAGTGGATGACCCAGAACAGCTGTTCAGAGGCAAATGCTGCTTCTGATAATGAGAGGGTAGGCTGGCAAATGCTGAGACTGAATGAACATCTCAATGAATAAATCAGATGGAAAAATGTTTGGCTCACTAAAATACTGACTCAGGGGAGTTCTGGATCTCTATTTGCCACCTTCAATTATTAAAAAAAATAAAATAAAAATTCAGTGAATGTTGTACAATGTCTATGAAGAATCTGTTACTGTGGAAGCTTCATGACAGTAAATTCAAATAGATATTTTCTGCAGGTAAATAAAGCATAATTAAATCCTCTATGATCAATATTTTGTGAGAATTTGTCTGTAAACTGCACATGTAAGAAACACTCACATTAGATATTTAGTCCTGCTTTTATTTTGGTCAGGATCCTGATCATTCTCTCAGGATTTGCATAATCACTGGTTCACTACAGATTATCCCATACATGCTATGTCACATTAAGCCTACAGCAGTCTTCATCATAAACACATCAGGCCTGGTTTGTTCCCTCAAGCAAACACCTGAGCTGTGTTTTAAATGCTGCCGAACTTGTCAGACGAGCCTGAGGAGCAGCTTGCCTTGTCTATGATGCCGTCGATTTTCCTTTCTTCCACAGACTTCTTGATGGTCTGAGCTGTCTCTACCATCGACTCTGAGATCTTCTTTGTGGCACTGGAAGCAAAGTTGAAGATGTAACCTTAATGTGGAGGGAAAATAAAAAAAAAAAAGACAGGATGGGCATGAAATAAAGAAAAAACTGCTGAGCTGTCACATATCCTTTTGATAATAACAGGCAACAAGGAGAGTGAAAAAAGAGGACACGTGACAACAATAGTTGGTGTTATTTCAAATCAGAAGACAGTCATGAAGATATATTGCAAATTGACCTTTATTTTTCCTGATTTACTGAGTTTCAAATGAGTAAACAGGGACACATGTAACAAGACCATTTGAGCCAGAGACAGGATGATATTGATAGTTATCCGGATCACACTAAAAATAAAGCAATCCATTTCAAAACGACACGAAGTAGGATATCAAAAAAGTTTTATCACCACCAAGTCCTTTGCCCGGCTCGGCGCTGTCCTGGTCCTGGTTGGTCTCTGATCCTCCGTCCTGATCAGCTGTTTGCTGTTTGTTTACCTCATTTTGAGCCTCCACCACCCTTTCTTCCTGCTCCACTGTCAGCTCTTCTCTGTCCTCCGATGTCTTCGTAAACGTCGGGTTCTCAAAACCCAACCACGTCCCTAAACCCTTAAACATATTTACGGATCAAAACTAAACGAGCGTTCGAGAGCAAAAACACCATTAACTGACAGGCGGATGCTGGACTTCGTCAAACCAGGAACTAAACCGACAGGATCTCTTCTTCTCTGCTAGAATCCGAGAGATTCAACATGTGTGATGCTGCAGTCCAGTGGACAAACGAGGGAAGTGACGCCTCAGACTGAGAGATTTTAGGTTTATGCTTGACACAAATAAATGACTTGTGCAAGTGGTTGGACTATAATAACCAATTACATTTAATCACCTCACTGTAATTGAGTAGTTTTTTGTTCTTCAACTTTGTGAGCAGTACGTTAATATTCCTTTCCAAATGCTGCAATATTTTTATTTGACTTGAAGATACTTTTTACGTTCACAAATGTAAGCCATTGACTGTATATGGTGCATTGACCAGCGAGCAGAAAAAAAAAAACCTTATGAAAATAGGCTGACCGGACGATGAACGCAGCGCAAAAACAATAAATACATACATAAAATCAAGTCTTCCCGAATTAATTTGTCCCAGTTCCCATTAAAGCATCTATTTTGGTAAGTGTAAGCAACTCCGACACAACAGGTCCAAATACAAATTTGTGTTTAAAGCCAGAATATTTTCAATAACATTCTCAGTTAAAGCCCAGTCATCTTGATTCAAGAACGTAACAAGAAAATTTTGCATCCCGCATTTGCATCCATTTTAAGTCACTGCAATCTATTAAGTCCTTATCTTTTCTGGTATGTCGAGGGTCTATGTTCTGACGGTCATGATCTGAGCGTGGTGGGAGCTTTTACAAAGCGTAATAATGACAAAAGACTGCAGGACTACTCAGCGACCTCCCTCCAGAGATCCAAATAAAACCGTCTCTCTTTCTCTCTATCTATCTATCTATCGATATCTATCGATCTATCGATAGATAGATAGATAGATAGATAGATAGATAGATAGATAGATAGATAGATAGACAGATACACTACAGGCTAAAAGTTTGGAAGCAAGGCAATTACAGACCGAACAGTTGGGAGTAACTTCAAGTTTTTGTTCACAATGCTTTTTTTTTAAATCCAGCATGAGTTTTATGTATTTTGGGATGTATTAACTCCATGATAAGATGTTGCTTACATGGAAATGCACCATTTTACTCCATTTAGATATACATTGATGTTAACAGACCATTGCTAAATATATGTCAGCAAAAGATAATAAGGGGCTTAGTTTTAGGGTTGAAAACATTTGCAAGAGTCACAACTTCAGTGCAAAAAAACAAATCACAATTGGATTATTCACTTCAACTTTTTGGCTTTAGAGAGCCTGCATACAAAAATCCTAATAAATCTCAACTGCGTTCAAACTACCACAAAAATGGCTAGAAAGAAGCAACTGAGTAAAGAAACAAAATTACAGATTTGTACATTGAGGAAAGAAGGATATACAGAAAAAGAAATTGCAAAACGCCTAAAGGTGTTTAACAAAGGAGTCCACTACACTCTGAAGAGACTAGAGGAACCTGCAGTTATGATGATAGAAAAAGACCTGGACGAAAGAGAGTTACTACAAAAGCAGAGGATAAACATATCATTGTCACCAGTAAGAGAGATCAGCGAAAGACAGCAGCACAAATAAGGGAGGAAATCCACATGACAAGGTCGAAACCCATATCTCTGACAACCGTGAAATGACGTTTGAGAAAGGCTGGTCTGAAGGGTTGTGTGTCTGCAAAAAAACCACTACTTCGTCCACAGAACAAGAAAAAGAGATATGAGTGGGCAAAAGCTCACAAAAATTGGACCTATGATGACTAGAAACAAGTTTGCACTGTTTGGTTCAAAATGCAGAGTCTATGTCTGCAGACAAACTGGTGAACGTCTGAAAGCACCATGTGTTACACCCACAATTCAGCATGGAGGTGGTAGTTCCATGGTATGGGGATGTTTTGCAGGTGATAGAGTAGAAGATTTGTTTGACGTAAAGGGTATCATGAAGAAGGAACAGTACAACTCCATCCTCCAGCACCATGCTGCTCCATCTGGACTAAGACTTGTGGCTCATAAGTTTGTTTGTTTTCAATCAAAAATCGCATCCCACAAATCAGCAGTCTCTTTTTAATGAACTTAAGAAAACTTGCAAATTATATATATGAAACTATGATCTTTTTTTGTACAAATCTGATCTTGCTTCCAAACTTTTGGCTATTAGTGCACACACACACACACACACACACACACACACACACACACACACACACACACACACACACACACACACACACACACACACATATATATGTAAAACAATAATAAATATATATGTAAAACAAATATATATCAAATCATAACACAAAACTTTTTTGATCAGCCGGCCTCAACAAGGTCTGTTGCTACCGCTTTAATCAAAGTTTTATCTACTCAAGACCATACAGTCTATACTCAAGACTTGCCGAGTTGCCGACCTTCACCAGCAGGGGCTGTAATGAGCTGAGTCTACAGAATTTCTTTTTCAGCAAGTCGAGGAGGAAGAAAACCTGCAGGACTGACGTCACTCGGGATTAGGTTGGTTTACTTTCTGTTCAACATTTAATCTTGTAATCATGTTTTATTTTTATATCAGCGAAAATGTAGACTATAGTTGAAACATTTGATCGTGATCTGAATATTTAGAGCTACTAAAGATTAACCAGTCTTTAGGGCAGTTACTCACAGATGACGAAGCTGCATCAGATCTCCTTAAAAAATGTGTAATTGTTATAAAACTCAGATTTTAACGAAATTAAACTTGACTAAAAAGCGAATATTAATACTTCTGGATTGATTTGGGTTTTGTGTTAAATTCGGCGTATCAAAGAGAGTGATTTATGAAATTTCTAAATGGATTTATTCATTCCTCAAGACTCAGTCACTATTTTGTGTTGGTGTGAGATCATTAGACAGACTGATAATACACCTGGATAGGCCTGCTGTTGAAAACTAACCACACCCGAATTCACGGCTAGACACTTAATATCAGAACCGTATCTAACCAAAGTATGAGAAAAGTAGCTTTTTAAATTTGTAGTTGAGTCCTAAATGTTCATTTCTTTACTTTAGCAGCTGTTGCTTACCATGGTGATTTATTCTAAACAGTTTCCCCCTTTTTTTCAGTGAAAAATGAAGACTCTGATTGTGTTTGATTTTGACCACACTGTGGTTGATGACAACAGTGACACTTGGGTGATAAGGTAAATTAGAAATAAAGTTGGCTCTGTAAACTGGACATAATGGCAAATACTTTTTGGTTCCTCTCCCCTCAGATGCCTTCCTGATGAGAAACTTCCTGACTCTGTAAAAAACTCCTACAGAAAAGGTCACTGGACAGAATTCATGGGCCGAGTGATGAAATACATAGGTGAGAATTTTTTATCTTTTATTTATAATGAGGCATTACATAGGAACTATTCATGGCAACAGCCTGTAAAATTTCAACAGCAGATCAACACTGTATAGAAGAGACTACTGCCCTGATTATTGGCTCCAACAAAATAATTATCTAATTTGTACACAGGTAAGAGGAGTGTTTCTTTTCCTCTAATAGTTTGCCACCATCAATAACAGGTGCAGATTATGATTGCAATTTTATTTATGTATTTATTTATTTTTTGCTCTGTGTACATCATTCACTGGTCAACGCACCTTTCTGTTTAAATACAATATGTGTCAAATAAACGTCAAATAAAAGACTGACTAGATAAGAAAAAAAAGGTAATACATGCTTAATCAATATACAAATTTATCTCCAAGGGGAGCTCCAATTTTTTTTACTCCAAACTGCATGGATAATTTTGAAGTCATATACAGTCTGTGGTGTTATAACAGTTGTACTGTTTCTTTAACAACGTTAACATTGCCAGAACGTCTCTGGCTGGCACCTTTTTTGGTCAGTTGAGAAGACGGGTGGATGCCATTAATGAGCTCCCATAATTTCTTTTTCTCAACTCAGTTAACAGTGAGTACCGTGACACCCCTTTGTCATGTCTGATATAGCTAACATGGTGTTTAATAACAGAACAACAGCCGTTAAGTGCCAAGGAATCTTTTTGTGGACATGCCTTTTTTTTCCCTGCTCAAACCACCACTCATTAGCAAACTGTTCCAGTGTATATGGACATTTTATGTATTGTCCCATCTTCCATGATACTGGGGTTGTATCAGAGATGAGGACTTGAGCTTGAGAGTTGGACTGGAGATCTTCAATCATTTTTAGCTAACCAAGATAAAGGAAAGACATTTAAAATAAGATAATATAAGAACTAAATTGATTGATAAATTGATTGGGGGGGGGGGCAGTAAAAAGTGACATGCATACTGTTGAAATGATAAGAGAATTTTTTAACTTTTTTTTTTTTCCATCTGTCCCTCCAGGAGACCAGGATGTGAGTCCTGACAGAATCCAGAGTGTGATGGAGACCATCCCTTTCACAGCTGGAATGACTAACCTGATGACTTTTATATTGGAGCATAAGAGCAGTGTAGACTGCATCATCGTCTCTGACTCTAACAGCCTGTTCATTGACTGGATCCTCCAGGCATCTGGTCTCCAAGCAGCCGTTGATCGGGTCTACACCAACCTGGCCAAGTTCAACGAGCTGGGGTACATGGAGGTGCAGTGCTGCCACTCACATGACTGTGACCGATGCCCTGTAAACCTGTGCAAGAGGAAAATCCTGGAGTTGTATCTGTCAGAACGGTCTGATGGAGGTGTGAAGTATGAGAGGATATTTTATGTGGGGGATGGTGGGAATGATCTCTGCCCAACTTTCTGTCTGAGAGGAAACGATATTGTGATGCCCAGGAAAGGTTACGCTCTGGAGAAACTGCTGGCCAGACTTGAAACTCAGAAAGGCGACAGTTCTCCAAGAGCTAAAGTCATTGTCTGGAGCAGCGGCACAGAGATCCTAGAACAATTAAAAGCCAGTATGTAGTCATAGCAAAGGCCATAAAGTTCAAATTTAATCATCTGCTAGTTAGAGAAATATTGCATTTATTTAAATTGCTGCTCCTTAATAAATTATGATTTGTTTGTAGAAATCCCTAGAGAAATTCAAGCTTGTGTCTTTAAAGTAAAAAGAGAGAAACAATCCACACACTTCTGGTCTGTTGCAAAAAGAAGGGCTTTACTGAAGCAAGCTTTCGGTCGGTTAGACCTTCATCAAGGCAAAGTGCAGGTTACAAACAGTGCTAGGGGTTAATATGCTTGATTAGCAGCACCTGTCAGCAGTGAATCACTCTGGGTCAGTAGAGCATCATGGGAAATGCAGTCAGCAAAGACATGAAACAAACAGAGAGGAAAAAAAGAACAAGTTCGTGCTGTGTACACATCAGGCTTTAGCCATCATAAAACAAAGCACAAAAAGTTCAGAATTCAATAGTTAAGTTATATAAACACACTCATGTCAAAATCCTTGTTTAGACCTGATGGTTGTAGTGCATCTAAAGTATAAGTAGTAAGTATAAGTAGTTCCCATTGGCATAATTTCCTGTCGACGTCACCCCCTCTGTGTAAGGTTACTTGTTCTATACCCTGAAATCTAAGGGAAGCGAGAGGGTGTGACAGATCATTAAAATGACAGGCAACAGGATAGTTTTCATCTCTTCTCCTAATGGAGCTCTTATGTTCACTTATCCTTTGTTTCAGGGGGCGGGTGGTTTTACCAATGTAAATTTTGTCACACGGACAGGTCAACATATAGATAAAATTTTTTGTATTGCATGTGATTATTCCCCTGATTCCAAAGCTTTTTTCCTCTCTGTTTGTTTCATGTCTTTGCTGACTGCATTTCCCATGATGCTCTACTGACCCAGAGTGCTTCACCGCTGACAGGTGATGCTAATCAAGTATATTAACCCCTAGCACTGTTTGTAACCTGCACTCTGCCTTGATGAAGGTCTAACCGACCGAAAGCTTGCTTCAGTAAAGCCCTTCTTTTTGCAACAGACCAGAAGTGTGCGGATTGTTTTTCTCTTTTTACTTTAAAGTTTCTGCTAATCCTGCACCTTCTCTCCAGATTGAGCTGTGACCCTTCACTATTTAAGCTTGTGTCTTGAAAATAGAGGCAATGCTTTTCAGAAGTTATTAATCAGTCTACAGCCCAGCACAAATGTGCTGGACAGTTTTGTGTCTTTGCGGCTGAGATCCCTCTTCTTCCTGTGTGCTGTGAGTCTCTGTTCTGTGCATTGTCACAGCCATTACACCACTCACACTCACAGCAGCATTGAGCAGGTTCAGGCTAAGAATATTCTATTTTAGTGTGTTTCACCAATTTAACATGAGAAAAAATTGCAGCGTTGAAAAAGTCAAAACAAAGATCATTCATAGGAATTTAGCCAAAGGTTCTGACTTTTCACCCAAATACACTCAGAAAAAATCTGCTCAGTAGCTGCAGGAGAGTTGGGTTTCATGTCCTCTAAAATAATGGAGCTATGGGTAAAGAAACACTGAACGAACACACCAGTGATCATCCTCCAATCTCAAAAGTTTATTTGAGAGGGGAGGGAGTGATGTCATGTGATCTCTTTTATAGTTTTTTTTTTTTTTTATCAGTTCCTGAGCTTCAGACTGTTGATAGGAACAGACACAACCACACACCTCCACTGATTCGTGAATGATAGTTCAGAAGAAATATTTGATTTTGTTTGCTCATACATTGAGGGTAAATCTTGTCTATTTTGTCTTTCATTCCTGTGAGCAGCTTTTCAAGTGATGGCCTGTGTTCAGTGACTATTTCTACACAATGTGTGTGTAGAAATAGTGTAAAACATGGAGGTAGTCTCAGTGATGTTTTTACACAGTGCAGAGTACTGACAGTGGACATCATATGGGAAATATTGGATTCAAGTGTCCAAAAGTGTCAGTAAAGTCAGCCACGTCCCAGTCATGCAAAACTTGTAACCTGGTGTGTAGGTTAGTGTGTACAGTTAGTGAAATAAGCTGTTTAGACGAAAACCTTTTTTTGAAGCAGGCAGTCAACATGTGCAATTTGGCTCTATAAAAAGGCTTTTTTTTGAATGGGTGACTTCCAGGGCTTTTGCAGCCAGCCTCAAGTGGACGCTCGAAGTACTGCAGTTTTGAGCACTTCCACATGGGCCTCATTTCTAAAGATAGATCAGAAGTTTAAGATGAACTGTTCATTAGTTGTTTCTGTGATATCTAAACGGATCCAGATCAGTACCACATTAAAAGTTAAACTCTTGGTATTGTCACCACTATCACAGCAAATTGACCTTTTTTCGTTTTCATTCTTTGTGCTTCTTTAATTTATTCAGGCTGAAAAGGAAAAGAAGCAGCATTGGATCTGCTAAGATAAATTTTTTTCACAGCACGTGTGAGGTAAATTGGTCATTTTTGTCAATAAAAAATAGGTATTTAAAGGCAGCAAGTCTCAGCTTGTCTTCATTCAGTCAAGCTGAGACAGGCTTTTTATTTGGCGGTTAGAATTGCGAGGGATAGTATCTATTGTGTAATTCTTGAAGGCTCCAGAAACAGGCAACTGGACTGTGTAGAGTTGAGAAGATGTTTCGCCTCTTATGCCTAAGAAGGGGACAAACAACGACTGGGAGGAGTTGGGAAAAATGGGTCATAGAAACCCATCTTCGGGTGTTCCCCCCCGAGGGTAGTTAACCTGAAAGGGTCGTTAACGACCCCTGTCATGTGACCACATGACACATGACTGCCACCTGGGTCATATGGTCCCAGGTGTGAATGTTTGTGGAGCTTCCTGGGGAGAGAGCTGAGAACTGCATTTTAAGTGCCAGAGAGGTTGTGCCTGAGTCCACCCCCTCTGTTCAGAGAAGGTTTCTCCAGTCTGGTAAAGATGGCTTCTTTAACTCCTCTTTCAAACCATCTGTCTTCTCTAGCCAACACCTGTACATTACTGTCCTCGAAAGAGTGACCCGTGCTCTTTAAGTGAAGGTGGACAGCTGAGTCCTGACCTGAGGAAGTGTTTGTCCCCTTCTCCAGTAAGATAAGTATCTGCTCCTCACACAAGCAATATTTAGAACTGAAGAAGCTTCTTGGATAAGGGGCGAAACGTCTTCTTAACTCTACACAGTCCAGATGCCTGTTTTTGGAGTCTTCAAGAAAACCATGACCTGGATGAATGAGAATCTACATGGACATATCTATTGTGTAACATTAACATTCACTTACCTCAGTTTCCTCTATGGGATGAATAAAGTTAAAGAAGTGAAACAGCTGCTGAAACACTGCCCCGAGTTTATAAAGATGAAAACTATGTAACGCTTGAACTTTGAATACCTATGTGTTTATCAGTGTTGTTAGTCTTTTTCCTGTAAGCATAACATTGCAGTCATTCTACTAAACTTCAGGATTTGATGATGACTGGAAAACGACACACATTTCACTGCTCTAATAAGGTGATGTCTCTGTTGATTTTTACACCTAGTTAATATTTTTGGTCTTTAAATGGTGCTTCAATCAAGTGTTTGCCTGTTGATGATTTTGGCAGATCAACATCTTAGGTTTAAAGTTTGTAGTTATTCATGTGGCACTTTTTAAAAATTGTTTGAACAAGGCTCGCATAACTTGATCATGTTAACTCTGAGATGACTTGAATGACAGTAACTTAAATTAAAAAAAAAAAAAAAAAAAAAAAAATATATATATATATATATATATATATATATACTGTATATATATATTTAAAACTAAATGAACAAGTCCATGTGTTTTTGGTCAAAATAGTTTTATCTAATCCAACTGAAATACTTTTTTTTTTTTTCAAATCCATCCACATTTTATGTTTTAAAGTTTGTTTAAATTGTGTTGTTAGTCATATTATTGGGATTTAATCCAAGTCATTTTGTGCCAGTTTCAACTTCATGGTTTTATAGAAACAAACACTTTTGAAAGGTTTTGATTAAAAAAAAAAATGTCGTGAGACAACCTATGAATTATTTTATGTTCATTTGAAGTCTTGTAATTCTAACGATGTGATTAAAATAAGGATACTTCATGCATTCACTTTATTGATTTATTTATTTCCTGATCTTCTAATGATGGAAAAGGTGGAGGTGTTTTACATTAAAAGTGTATGGTGTGTTTATATATGTATCAGCCCAATGAGTTTAAAGTATCAGCACACTGGGTATTGGCAAATTCAAATAACCTGCATCCCTTAATTAGAACCAAAAAAATTAATCCTGTGGAGAAAACCCATGTCTGAACCAAACTTCACAGCAATCTATTCAACAACTGTAGATAAATTTACTCAAAGCCACGAACCTGAACATCATAGAGGTAAATCCAGCAAGAGGAATCAACCCCAGCCCTCCAGAACTCAATTGCAAAGATGCCCTAATGTGCATGTCTTAGATATTTGGCAAGTAGAAACATTGATCCCCAGAAGGTTCTGCAAAAATGGAAAAGTTTCAGGGGAAAAAAATCAAAACAATCATTCATAAAAAGGAACAAAACTGAAACTTTGTCATGAACTTATATTTACAGTAAAGGCAAGGCTTAACTCACACAATTAATAAAAAAAGTAAAACTGTGTTTTAAAACCCTTGAGCATTCACTTTTGTTCTTTGCATATGGGCTTAGATCACAGTTAAGTCCATTAATAGAGACAACCGTGCATGTACATGTACTGACTCCTGATTGAAGAGAAAAAGATAAACCACATCAAGCCTGTGGACAGGGTTGATTTGAAAATGTTGTTGACCTTTTGGCCCTGCCTTACTTATGAGAACTTCTCCATGTTTATACTGCAGCTGAAGCAGCCAGGTCGACCAATCAGCTGCTCCTGGATATGCCCAACATTCGCCTGAAAAAACTTCAGATAGAATCCATCCCTGATGCTGAATGTCTGAAAGCATTATTGAAGACGTATTTTGTCTTTGACCTGGTAGAGCTCTTTTTATAAAGCCATATCTAATAAGGGTTGAGTAGACAATCTCCTCACCTTCATTTCCTCCTCTGCAGGCTGTCTTTTACTCTCTGCCTATAAGTTCATGACTTTATGATCACCTTCACTCACGCACGCTCACACGCATGCACACGCATGCACACGCACCCAGAAACAGGTATGCAAACCTCACAATGCAAAAGCCAAGTAAGTTCAAGGATACTTCTCCAATAAACCAGCTTTTCTGGTAGACCAGTAGAAAAGTAGGTATAATCAAAAACCTATGAATTAAAATTTTGGCATCGTTCTTTGCTCAGAAAGGTCTGTCTTCCAACATCATGTCAATTAAAAGCATTCTATTTAGTTATGGAGTCCAACAGACTATTAGGACTATGTATTTAAAATAATTAAGGATTTTAAGTCTTTCTTTTTTCTTTACAAAAATAAGGTTGTGATATTTTAAGAATAAAGCTGTAGGTGAAGAAATTCTCTGTGTTATAAGTTTAAAGTCATATTGTTACAACAATTAAATTGTAGTAAAGTCATAAAATAAGGAGAATAAATGAGGATTAGGTGGTGATAAAGTTATAGTTTTGGTTTACAGTGCACAGCTGTCGGTACCAAAGTGAGGAGAAAGAAAACTCCTTTAAACCTACAAAGAAAGTCATCCAGTGGCTGTTTTTTAGTTCATCATTTGAATAATATTCTCCATTTCTATGCATAGTGTGTTAAGTTCTTAAGTGTTGACTCACTGATTTATAGGAACCAGAGGTCCACCTCATTTGGTAGGCAAGTGTGAGAAAGCCAAAAAGGGCACTTCCAGCATTTTGAAGACCATTTTGTATCTCTTATACTTTTCTGTCTTTTCTTGGCATTGTATTTTTATGGGGAGTTTTTGTATTGGCCCTGTTCTGGCTTGTTGAAAACAAGCCTGGTTTCTTTTTTTAGAAACCCTGGACAGGAGGTAGACAGGAAAGAACAAAATGCACTGGTTTTAAACCTCAGTGCAAAAATGGATTGAACTGGTCCAAGCAAGTGAATCCCATTTCTTTCTTTCGCTGATCTGTTTGACCTTGACCATGTTGTGCATGACTCTATTTACAAATCAAATCCATATTCCTGTGTAAGAGTCAAGGTCTGCTTCTCAGATTTACTTAAACAAATAGATTGCAAAGATTGAACTTATCAGGACATTTATTTAACTACAGAGCAATCAAAAGTTGTTTGTTTGTTTGTTCTAATACTTTGTGCCTCTCATACCTCTGTAACACAGCATCATAGGGACAACTTTTACATCTGTTGGCACACACCTGTGCCTAGTGGTTGAGGATGTTTTGGGCATTTAGACAGAAAGGGTGACTTTTTGACTTTCATCTGCTGTCCAGAATTGGCAAACTCTGTTTCAAATACTGTACATTGTTGATTATCAACCAACATGATTCTTTTCATGGACAGAAAAACAGTGAAGTCTTAGGTAAAAACACTGGCTAATCCTCAGTTCGACTGATATTTTCTTGTACTTTGTGAGTGTCTGTGTGTCCTGATGCCTCTCATGTTCATGTGAATGGTGTCATTGGTCAGTATGATTTTGGAGACATTGGCACAGAGATGGTAGGACTGTCTAAAAGTGTATCAGACTGTTGTCACCATGGGTTATGAAATTCGAGTCTCTTTGAAGAGTAAAATGGACCCACCCACACAGACTTATTTTGGATATTAGGCATATTTGTATATTATATTTGTGATATAAAGCAGAGAATAGACTGGAAGTACTCTCTGGTTGTTGTTGTTGACTGTCAGTTTAAGTCATTGCTGAGGAACCATAACCATGAACAGTCTCTTCATCATCTTCATCATCAGCCCTCCTCTTTCCATCCAGGTTTTTGGACAACATAGATCATACATTCATGTGCCGATTTCAATGAGCTGGCACAACGCCTTACAGTACTGCAGAGAGCACCACACTGATCTGGCTGTTTTTGGGAATCAGACTGAATATGAAGCTCTACAGAATCCCTGTGGTCCAGATAAGTACTGTTGGATTGGTCTCCATAGAGACAGTGATAATCCCAGCATCTGGAGATGGCCCAATGGTGAAGACGTCAGCTTTACAAGATGGAACCAGTCACAGCCCGGTTACAAAACAGAAAAGTGTGGCTTGATAAAAGGCAAGTTTTGGTTTGATTTTATTTGTTTTTGGTATCATGAAGTTTTGTGCTCTGATGATGAACTGATCTTGGTCAAAGAGAAGAAGACATGGGAGGAGGCTCTGGAGCACTGCAGGAGTCTGAAAACTGACCCTACTCCAAACAACACAGCTTCCAACCATCTCTATGACCTTTCACACATGCATGCTGGAAATACAAACTTATACGCTGAAAAGTTGATCCAGAATGCCCAGACCCAGGAGGTGTGGATAGGTCTACGTTTCCTGGCAGGACACTGGCTGTGGGTGGACAACTTTCCTCTGGAGGAACAATTGGAGCAAAAGCTGCCGGTCTGCCCTGCTCCTGCAATATACTGTGGGACAATGTCAAAAACAGGAGGCCAAATGTCAACCAGGGACTGTGAAGAGAGGAGAAATTTCTTCTGTTTGTTACAGGACTACTTTTTTTATAGCTTGGGTATATTTGTAGCTTATGTCAAAGGTTAAGAAGCTTATGTTCCCTAAACATTAGGGAACATATGTATTTGGGCTGATGATTATTCTGCCTGAAGAAAAACTTTTTTGTAACTCTACAACATTTAAATCAGAAATTATCATATTATTTTATTATATTTTTTTATTATATTTTATTTCATATTATCAAATGATCATTTAAAGTACATATGCAGTATTTTCAATTTTTATATTCTGTTTGATTTTTTTGAGTACTTAAGTGCCAAAATGATCATGAAAATGACACCGAACTCAACCTAATGATCAAACATCTCCCATAGATAATACTACAGCTCTTAGTTTAAAAATAGGTCTTAATTCATGTGATGCTTTTGGATCATATAGCTTTCTACAGTAATGGCTGTAGTATATGGAAGAATAAAAAAAAATATGCAGTATGATCATTTTGCCAGAAGCATCTCTGAAGTTATTAAATTTTCTGTCTTTCGGTCTCTACGTTGTCGAGCCATCGCCACCAGCGTATCGAGACCAATTAAAGTTGTCTGGCTCAAAGGACGGCTCATTTTGAGGAGAATGAGGTTGTAGCTTAGTCTTCATAACAGTAATGTAAAAAACAAGGGGTCGGGTTTGTAACTGTGTGGTTTCATTGATTATTGAGTTATTGGAAAGTCCAAGAGAGGTCTGGCTGCAGACCTCCACTGAGAGGACTCACCTCCACTGAGATGACCTGCTCTACAGAGGGGACCCGAGGTAACATTATTTCTCACGTGCTCAAGTTTGTTTGAAGTGGTCATCCCGTTTTGTATTTTGTCTTTGTTGAACACATGAATACACAAAAAATCATATTAACACTATAAACACAAAATAAAGCCTCAAGAAAAAAATTATATTCACACGAGACAAAAAATACATAGGCTATTTCCGGGTGTAATCGCTTTCAATTTGAAAGGCTTTGGATCAACTTCAGATGTAAAAGAAAGAAATGAACTCCCAGTATATTTGCTTTTATTTTGAAAGTCTTCAAACAACTTCCAGTCCGCTCAGTGGCGGTGGATCCTTTCAGTGGAGGTCTGCAGCCAGACTGTCTTGAAAAGTTCAACTCTATGAATATCTTTTCAACTTTACCCAAGTGTCAAAGCCGGATCAATGGATGTAGCCTACTTCAAAGGCTCAGTCAGGTTTAAAATGGTAGCAGTGGCCAGTATCATTGGTGCTTGTGCCCCCTGGTGGTATGGAGCTGGTGGCACACAGACAAGTCTCCTCACGCATGTAAATCGCTGCATGCATTTGTGGATCTTCCATGGCAGGATTGTAGCAAAAGTCACATGGAAGAACACGTCCAATCTAGTGTCCTGACATTCACATGATCTACGCATGCAGATCAATGTACGCATTTACAGATTTCTTTTACATATTTGTGGATCTAGTTACACACACAGATTGTTTTACTCATTGGTGGATCTGGTTGCACACACATAGATCGAAATACACAA